TGGGGATTGGACCAGGACCTTGCACATGCTAGGCAAGTGCTCCTACCATGGAACATTATCCCTGGACCACATTTACTTGGGTTTTTTTTTTTTTTTTGGTACTAGGGATTGAACTCCGGTCCTTGAGCTTGCGAGGCAGGCACCGGAACCACTGAGCTACATCCTTGGCCAATACTTGGTTTTTACCTAGTGTCCTTTTTCCCATTCCAGGATCTCATTAGGATCCCACCTTTGTTTGCTGGCATGGCGCTGACTTTAGAGCAGACCTGATCTCTTTTTTTGGGGGGGGGGTACTGGGGATCGAACTTGGGTCCTTGCATTTGTGCAGCAGGCAGCGAAACCACTGAGCTAAATCCCCAGCCCTAGAGCAGGCCTGATCTCTACAGAGCCCAGGGCAGTGTGCTGACTGACGCAGCATGTGTGGGTCTGCCCTAGTCCTAGTCGGGAGCCGCCTGTGATCATACTTACTCCTCCGGCAGGTCTTGCCATCGCTGCGGAGCGTATACCCTTCAAAGCACTGGCACACAAATGAGTCTTCGTTGCTTACACATGAATGTTCACAGCCATGGTCCCCCACAGAACAAGGGTCCAGTTCTGAGAATCAAATTGGAATAATAGAAACAGAAATAAAAAATGATTCATACATGAGAGACTTATTCGCAAAAATGTTTCAGACACCTTAAATTAAAATGGTACCCATTCCTGCAGCACATTTTTGAGTAGAAATAATGTCTACAAGTAGTCATCTATACGGATCACATACAAGTAAAACAATACAATCGTCCCTTCAGGAGAAATGAACAAAAGATATGAAAAGAGGCTGGGTGTGGTGGCACAGGCCGGTAATCCAGCATTAGGGAGGCTGAGGCACGAGAATCATCACAAGTTCAAGGCCAGCTGGGGCTACCCAGTGAGTTCAAGGTCAGCGTGAACTACATGGTGAAACTCTGTCTCAAAAAAAAAGAAAGATACAAAGAGACAATTTATGAAAGGAGAAATAAACGGCATAAAATACTAGAAAATAAGTAACTTCATTGGTTATCATAAAATACCAACTTATCTACATATGTATGTATATATGTATAATGTATGTATGTATGCATATATCACACTATGTACATATCCCATCCAATCAACAATTTTTATTTCTCTTTTTTTTTCTTTTCGTACCGGGGATCGAACTCAGGTCCTTGCGCTTGTGCAGCAGGTGGCGAAACCACTGAGCTAAATCCCTGGCCCAACAATTTTTATTTCTTTCTTTATTTTTTGCAGTATCAGGGATCGAACTCAAGACCTTGCACTTTCAAGGCAGGTGCAGCACCACTAAACTAAATCCCCAGC